CGAAGTTATCGAAGTTATTCCCCCATCTCCCAATGGAGCCCCTCACCCTCGTGGTTCCGTGCACGCACACCGCCAGATCTTTGGTGTACTCTCCCCCCCTGATCACGGTCAGCACGCTGTCCTCCAGGTCGGTGGTGAACTTGGCCAGCTCCTCGTTGCCGTCCAGCTTGGCGCGGTGTGCCAGTCCCCGCGTCCAGGCAAAGATGGAGGCCACGGGGTTGGTGGAGGTGGGGTTGCCCTTCTGGTACTCGCGCCAGTGGCGGGTGACCGTGCCTGTTGGTTTTCCCCGTCAGTGTGTGTGTGTGTGTGTGTTAGGGTAGGGGCCGTGAGTGGGCAAGGTACATGTCGGGAAGAAAGCAGGAAGGACGAAGTGACAAGGGTCGAGCCGCTCCTGTGCATGATTCAGAGAGCCAGGAGGGTGCGCATGCCGCTGCAACCCTCAGGCTGGGGCACGTCTCCTGGGGTGGCCAGGGTTTGATTCTTGCCCCGCGCCCCTCATCCCATGGATGTCCTCTACAAGCAACCCCCCATGTACCAACCCCAGGAAGAAGACAATCCCCTGATACCCTCACCGTGCGCGGCCTCGGCCTCCATGGTCTTGCCGTCGGGGGTGACCAGGACAGAGGTCATGAGACCCAGGGAGCCATACCCCTGCGCCACGATGTCCGACTGCACGTCGCCGTCGTAGTTCTTGCATGCCCACACGAAGCCGCCCGAGGACTTGAGGGCCTGGGCCACCATGTCGTCGATCAGGCGGTGCTCATACCAGATGCCTGCAGCCTCAAAGTCCGACCGATACTTGGCCTCGTAGATCTCGGCAAAGATCTTTGTGGGGGGGGCAGAGAAGGGAGGCATCCGATATGGAGGGTGGGTTGACGGCGCGAGGGGTGACTTTCCTGGAGAGAAGGGGCTCCCAGCCATGCCAAGCCCTGCATGCTGCATGGCCAGCGTCACATGCACACATCATCCCTTGGGGTCCTGCACGCAGTGCAATGCATCCGCCTGCCCCTCCATCGTGGCACGCACCTGCAGGAAGCGGCCGTCGTACTTCTTCAGGATGGTGTTCTTGGTGGACAGGTAAAGCGGCCTGGCGAGGAGGAGGGGAAGGAGGTTGGAGGCAGGGCGACCAGCGTCTCGCGCGGCTCAGAGACAGTGGTGCAATGCAGACCCGTGTGCAATGCTGAGCAGGAGACGTATCCCGCAGACCCAGGCCACCACCAGTCCCATGGCGCCATCAGGCATGCGCGCAACTCGCCGACTGAGGCCAGGCAGTCGACTGCTGCTGCCTGCACAGACACCAGCACACCTGGCCCACAATACAGTGCCACTCGAAACCCGTCCCCCTCACCCCACCCCTGACGCACCACTTGCGAGCCAGAGCATACTGGAAGCAGGACTGGGCAAAGCCGCGGATGGACTCCTCCGTGTTGTACATGGCCAGGCCGACACCCGGGCCTGCATGTGGCAGAGCGGGTACTCACACATACTAATAATCACGGCATCCACTCGAGCATCATGCACTCAGCTTCAAGCGCCCTGTGTCCCCTCCCCACACCCCTCCCCTTCCAGGCCATCCCCCTCTTCCAAACCCAGACCAACTCGCCCTGGAACTTGAAGACCTCAAAGTTCTGCACCTCCCCGCCGTCGTCTGGCGTGAAGCGCAACTCCAGCTTGCCGGCCCCAGGGACAACCAGGTCGGTGGCCTTGTACTGGTCGCCAAAGGCGTGCCTGCCCACCACGATGGGCTTGCGCCAGCCCGGGACAATGCGCGGGATGTTCTCGATCACGATGGGCTCACGGAACACGGTGCCGTTCAGGATGTTGCGGATGGTGCCGTTGGGGGAGCGCCACATCTGCTTCAGGCCAAACTCCTTGACGCGGGCCTCGTCGGGGGTGATGGTAGCGCACTTGATGCCCACGTTGTACTTCTGTGGGGGTGGGGGGGGGGTGCGGAGCGAAGAGGAGCGGTGTGCCTCTCAGGGCACAGCTAGGGGGCCGACCCTGCACGGTGAGCGAGTAGGGGCGCCGCCCCCACAACACCCAAATCCCACCTTGATGGCCTCGGCGGCGTCGACGGTGATCTGATCGTTGGTGGCGTCCCTGCTCTCCACGCTCAGGTCGTAGTACTTGATGTCGAGGTCGATGTAGGGGAAGATCAGCTTCTCCTTGATCTGGTCCCAGATGACGCGGGTCATCTCGTCGCCGTCCAGGTCGACGATGGGGTTCGCCACCGCAATCCTGGCTGCTGCCATTGCAGAAACGGAGAAGTAACGATCTACACAGCGAGGTGGAGGGAAAGGGGTGAGGGACGCGGGGTCTGCTCCATGAGAGACAAGCAAAGGATGGCGATGACAACCCCCACCCCATGATGCCCCAGCCCTTCATGTATGGCGAGGAGTGGACAAACCCATTCCAATCTCCAAATTGCTATTTGGAGCACTTGCAAAGCAATGTGTCAGCCACTCACGCTCTCCGTGCTTGGCACTCCTCAGTGAGTTGGGTCCGGAGCGGCTGACTGCAAGTCTCGCGATTTGTCGGATTCCGTTCATTCTGTAATACTGAGAAGCATTCCAGGATATGCCACGCCGTGTCGTGGTGAGTTGGTAAACTCAACATCCCACGTGGACTTGGGGTTGGGGGGCAGTCCTCCGCAACGGCGCGCGCTCTAGGCCATGGATATCCGCCGGACTGAGTCCTCTCGGGGGCGGGCTCCCGTCGAGCCCTCGTAACTCATGGCGAGACAATAGCGAGCAAAATACGAGACTATCATTCAGGGAATCTGTCAGAGAATGCGAAAGTTTCACCAAGTATGACGTTTGTTTCGATGGACCGTCTTCCCGATGCTCCTTTGCCCCATTCCTCTGCCCGAGTGGCACTGTGCTGCTTGACTGGCCGCCTGGTCCCCTGAAGATGGTTGCATGCAGAGTGGCCTGAAGAGTAGGTACTCCCACAAGTCTCCGAGTTCCTCTTGATGACGGGATGCCTACCTTGAGGAGAATAACCAAAACTAGTAGGTTGGTGGCAGCAAAGGTCAAGGGAGTGCGGCAACAGATGTACTCCAATCTGGTGTGTCTGGCTTCCAATCCCATCCTGGCATCCGGGTCCCACCCCAGGCAGCAAACCGCTGCAGCACAAGTGGTCTAGCCATGCAGTGTCAGAGGCGTCAACCTCTCCTCCCTTCGTACCTCAGTGGTTGATACCAGAGTGGGCTCCCCTCGTCAGAGGTAGCTGTCGGGACAATCTTGGGAACTAGACTCATTGCTGGCACCCAACCCCCGGCCAAGCCATCTCCACTACTCCTCGGGGGCCTGCTCCAGGTATCCCTCAGCCAAAAATCCCGAGGCAGGCGCCACATCCGGGGCCAACCTGACTGTCACCATGTGCAGGTTGTTGATCTGCTCCCGAGTGACGCTCTCACCACAGAGTGGGTGCAGCGGGTAGGTAGATCTACTGTTCTGCAGGGAACGAGTGCGTTGCGGAGGTTCTGCATGCCGCGAGGTCTGGAAGGACGGTGATGGAATGTAGGATGATTCACCGAGCTTCTGCAGCAGCTGCCGGGGTCTGGCTTCAGGGACTGTGAAGCTGTTTGCCCTTTTGTGCCACAACCTCAAGATGAAACTTGCACTGTGATGGATTCATATCAGAGCGTGGGGCTTTGGGATCTGAATTCTGAGGTAGAGCCTGGGTGGAGGGGCAGCGTGGTGGCAGGGCAGCCTTACAAGGGCAGGCCCGACGAGCTGTTCTACTGAAGACCTGATGCAGATCGGACTGGCCACACTCGCCTATCACCGGAGGAGTAATCAAGTTTGCAGTGGGACCCTCTCTGCAAGATCCATCCCTCTGGTGAGGCCAGCGCAATGCACCTGCCAGGTTTCTGAGTGGGAGTGTCACTAACGGATGAAAGGCGTTGGAGTCGACGTGATACAACTGCATGGAAGATACGAGGAGAACTCCAGCTCAAATATTACGATGATTTGCAGGCAGTATATGTTGATCCGAAACCTTCGATGAAATTCCTTAAGGATGATCATGCTCTGCACGATACATTGCACGGGGATGCCGGAGGGTCTTCCGGATGCCGGGATCCTATTCCTGAGGCGGCGTTGAGGAGTTCCAAAGCTGCCATCGACATCGGGTGACTTGTCCTGGATCCAATGGTATATGAGGCCTGGGACTATGATTTAGAGTGCTGAGAATCGGTTATCACTCCCTTGCGAGTCAACTGAATGGATCCATCGCCGCTTTCATCCTGCATCGTTTTACCATGGGGATCTGCAGGATCTCTCCGGATTCCCACCAGGAGCATCAAGGGCGCCGCTCATACTCCCCTGCACCTATAAATGCTGCAAGCGCAGGGGCCCAGTAGATTAATTGCAACACTTGCAGCGTGATATTCGACCGAGGTCCAGCGAAGAAAAGGCGTACCGACGCAGTGCAACGCATCTCGTCCTGACCGCAAACACGTTCAGCATTCGGAACAGGACGAGCACCGCGAGGTGCAGGATGCCACCGCCCGCAAGACCCCATATCTTAATATCTGGCCTCGTCCTGCTGCTGACCAGATGTGCCTTCGCGGTGAGTTGGATTGCTCCCTGGTGGATGTCGATCTCACGTCAGCTCCCCTTCGCGAGTGACCCATCTTCGCTCATTTTCCTCGCTTTCGCGCACACCGCAGGCCACATGCAGCTCCACATTCTTAGCTCTACCCAGTGGAATGTGAGACGTGAGCTGTAATGATTCGGGGGGGTCCTACGTGCGACCCCGGTGACATTACTTTCCGCACGTGCCCTTGCACACATTGCTCCGGTCGGACCCGGGTCCCTACTCGCTGCTCCCCAGGGGTGACAGACCTGCTTGTTTGAACACGCACGTACAGATTGTATACGATTTGGCTCACTAGCTCTTGTCTATTACCGATGCTTTTCCAACATCTCGCATATGTTCGATCCCTTGCAGTCTGGGAGCCCACGTGTATCTGATGACGGTCGATAGTGCGGATGCCATTTGCAAGTGAGTACCACATGGGTGGGTTTGCGCATGAGATCATGTGCTTGCACGCCACTGAGCCGGCCCAGGTAAAACCATCATCAAGCTGAAGCACCATCACATGTGTCATGATATGCACACCTCAATCTGTGTACGCCCCCCTCTCACAAATCAAAGGCACAAGGGCTTCAGCAGGGTGGGATCAATCCGCACCTCGACCCTTCACATCGTGGGACTCTCCGTGTCAGCCATCCGTGTGAGCAACCATGAGATCCTGTCGGATCGATCCACGGAGATCCTGGTGGCTGTGGAGTGCTTCAAGCCGGCCTAGAAGGCATGCACGGCAGACAGCAACGGCAACATTGGCACCGGCAACAAGGGCAAAAACAACTTTGGCACCAAGAATGTCGGGAATAGTAACATCGGTGAGCATGGATTGGCATGTGCATTCGCATCCAAGATGTGCAGAGCCACTGCAATCTTTACAGAGACCGACTCAAAAGTGAATTGGTGCTGCCCTCTTGCAGGTAACTCCAATGTGGGCGCCGCCAACTGGGGAAACAATAATAAGGGCACGGGCAATCGCTGCTTCAACAAAACTGGAGACCGCAAAATTCTGAACGACTGCAGCCTGCAAGAAATTTGTAACTACGCATGGGTCCTTAGCTTCCTGCCCCCACCCGCCAAGAAGTCGCCCCCACCCGCCAAGAAGTCGCCACCGCCCCCATCTAAGAAGTCGCCACCGCCCTCATCTAAGACGTCGCCACCGCCCTCATCTAAGAAGTCGCCACCGGTCCCATCTAAGATTCCTCCTCCGCCGCCAGTCAGCCCCTCTCCTCCGCCTAGTCCCATTCCCTCACCCCCCCCACCAAGCCCCTCACCCCCCCCACCAAGCCCCTCACCCCCGCCACCAAGCCCCTCACCCCCGCCACCAAGCCCCTCACCCCCGCCACCAAGCCCCTCACCCCCGCCACCAAGCCCCTCACCCCCGCCACCAAGCCCCTCACCTCCAACCCCACCAAGCCCCTCACCTTCACCCCCATCGGCACCCGCAACTGCCACACTTCAATTCAGTGTTCCGAAATATGGACTTGTCGACATGACGTGTGTTGTTACCACTCCGGGGTACATTCCTAATTACCTCACGTGCAACTTGTATACATATTTACCAGCCTTACTTTTTGCGACAACGTATCCCAGCCCCTCATCCTCCGTCACACCCATCGAGTCGAAGTCATTGTCGGTGAAGATCATGAAGGAATATCCTCTTGGCTCCGCTTTGGTGTACACACAAGGTTCTACCCTGAAGGAGGTGGTGCCGCTGGTTCTGCTCAACCCTTCACCACCTCCTCCCGGAGCTGCCCCACCACCGCCAAGGTTTGGGGCCGTCAGTGGAACTGTCAGTCGAACAGGTTCTAACTTCGCGTTCTCTTTGACAATCACTAGCTTCAGCCCGAACATTATCTACTTCGCACTCTTCACGACAGATGATGCCATAATTCAGAACGACTTCACTTACAAGCGTGTCCCTCCGTATAAAGCCACAATGACCTTGGATGCTTCCAGTGCAGCACTCGCGTCGTACGCCCAAGTAGTGGCCGTCAAGATTGGACAGGGCAGCACAAGTGCTCTGACCGTGCGCTGGTGATCTGGCCCCTCATCTCGCTCATGCATAGCCTTCGTAGCTTCGACTTCGCACGAGTGTCATCTTTGGGAGGCCCTGTGCGGCCGGTGCACGCCCGGCAGGGGGGATCCTGGGGCATTGATCTGGCACAATATCTGCACAATGGCCCCACTTTGCCTGTCACTTGTCACAACTGGGCCTGGGACAGCCCCAGCAGGCACAGATCCTACACGCCAGCACTTGACAAGCTCCATGATAAGAGTGGGAGCAGGGGACAGACGCTGCTCAGTCCTTTGGCTTGCGTTCCCGCAGCCTGTTGGCATGGGCTGATGCGCCAGACTGCAGGAGCGTGACCTCTTCAGTATGACAATCCTTCCTGCTTGGGAGTGAGGGTGCCTCGTTCATCGGCATGCACAGAGGGAGGGGATGGTGCAAGGCACAAGGGGCAGGATGCCAGCACGACAGTACCTTGCCACACATTGCCACACCAATCCCTGCCCTGTGCTGGCTCTGTAGCACCAACCTCCTACCGACCTGAATCTCATGCGCAGGGCAGGCACATTCGTCTTCTGGATGTCGTTGCCTTCGGGTCCCATCTTCCAGTACTTGGTGTGCACCCAGTGCATCTTGACCTGAACATGGGCAGAGGAGGGCAGACATTTCCCCATGGCCATGCTCATGCACGAGGATTGGTGAGCAAATGGCACAGCTGTGGAGTGTGGGGAGGGCTGCATGCAGTCACACAGCAATGCTCGTCGCCCAGACCGTGCATGGATTCACCCGACCCATGGCATCGGGCCTCCTGACCCTGCGCAGTCATGTTTTTGCGCTCCACACCCCGCTGCACCTGGTGCGGGTAGCCGGAGTGCAGCACAGAGTTCCGGGCAATCTCACAGAGGTCGGTGGCGCTCAGTTTCCACACCTGCATGGCATGGAGTGGGGTTCGGTGCGCGCATGTGCCGCGCTCCGCCGCTGGTCCTCCTCAGTCTGCTGGACCCGCCAGACCCTCCTCACCTGGGCAGCGACCGAGTACTCCTCCACCAGGGGCTCCTTTGTCAGGTGGATTTGCAGCGGGTCGTCGGTGGAGAGGCTGACGCTCAGGCCCCGCGCGAAGAAGGTTGGGAAAGGGTTGCGGTGGTAGTCCAGGAAGATGAAGTTGTTGGACAAGGGGCTCATGCACAGGCCCACCTGAGCCAAGGGTGGGATGCGGCAGTTGCCCCGGGTCCATTGACTGCATGCAATGTCCAGCAAACCTGACGGCTACAACTCCGTGCGGGCATGCAGCCGGCGCCCTGCCCGGCGCGCCCGACTGACCATCACACCTGCGCCAGGTAGTACAGGTACTGCATGGAGGGGGACTTGCGCAGGTTGATCCCATGCGCGATGTTCTCCGCCGCCATGAACGTGACTGCCAGGTGGTCCACATCCCCAGCCTCGCCTGGCATGGCATATCGAAGAAAGGGGTATACTCTGTCTGCAAGACTCAGGTGCTCAGACATTCCTGTCTGTGGGTCCGACAGCAGGCATGCAGTCTGGGGGCTTGAATCATGGGTCACCCATGCTGGCTCAGCCAACACTCACAACTCGAACTTCACCCACCGGAATGGGGCCGCAGGGAGAAGGTGTTCAGCCCTCGGGCCTCTCGCAACTTGTTCAGGGTAAAGAGGTTGGCATACCTGGGGTGATGGTCATGGCCAGGCTTGGGGCGGACACAGACCCGTGCCCATCACCTTGACTCCCTCCCCTGATGCCTCAAGCCGGCCCAGCAACAGCGGCAGTCCACAGGCCCACACACCGGGGTCACACCCACCCCTTCCCCCCTCCCTGCCTACATGTAGTACACATAGTAGGCGAAGGAGGGGTTGTACTTTGTGTTCCAGGCTGCGGGGCTGGGCATGTGCTTGTTGGGCCGTCGCTCCGGCTTGGACTCATCATCCACCAGATCAAAGCCGCTGACCTGTTTGGGGGGGAGGAGGGCAAGGGGAATGCTTGGGAGCGAGGACTTGCAATCCAAGGGGGGGATCTCGTTTCAAGCACTCGGCGTGCTGGAGGGACATTCGGCACTGTCAGAATCGCTTCATTATCTTCCTGCACCTCGGCACTCACCCCTTTCAGGAAAAGGTGCAGCTGCGGGTGCGACTCGGGATCTTTGGTCACCTCGAACAGCGGCTCAAAGATGTTCACCAGCAGCTGTGGTGTGAGGGACGGCGACGCATGGAAGGAAGGGCGCAGCACGGCACAGGCATGGTGTTCTCGCTCATTCTGTCTGTGGATCTGCGCACAAACGTGCCCAGGTGCATGGTGCGAGTACACACAAAGACGGAGATCGGATACAGCAGCTGAGTATGGCACCCAGGCGGCCACCTCCAACCCCCATTACAGCCGCTCACCTCTTCAAAGTTGTCGATGATGCCCGACTCCTTGTACACATTGTAGAGCCGAGGGATCTGTGTGTGTGGAAACAAGGAACACTCGAGTGATTACGACAGGCAGAGACAGCTTGTGCCTTCTGCGACCAGCGGCGCAGTCCACATCTCCCCTGACGCACCAACACCCTCTTCTCAGGCCGATGGCACCACCCTGGACAGCTGAAACGATGTTGGCAAGGATCGCACATGCCCGCAAGGACCAGGCTGGACCGGCACCGCTTCGTCTCCCGACGCCGGGTGCCCGCCCCCCCCCCAACCCCATTACATAGCCACGTGCAAAGAGCTCCCCAGGCACCTGTATGAGCCACATGTTGTTGTCCGAGGCCAGCCGGTTCTGCACCACCCAGGCGGCCAGCGTGTCCCACTCGTTGGGCTTGCGGCCGTACACTGAGATGCGGTACTCGGTGTGCTGGTACTTGGAGGCCTCCAAGTCCACAAACACCTCCTTGGTCAGCTGGGCCAGGAAGCGGCCGTGCAGCAGGTTGTCCTGGCAAGGGGGGTATTCTTGGGTGTTTACGAGGGGGGAGGGGAGGGTGGGTGTCGGGTGGGTGCATACGGCAGCAGGGGGGGAGGGATCCGCGGGACTGAGGCAGACCATGGGGGGAGGATGTGTGTGGATGCGGGGGGTGTCAACCCCCTCTCCCACCTGCTTGATGAAGATCTCGCGCAGCCTGCTCTGCCCAAAGGGGTTGTACTTGAGGTTGAAGCGGTCGAAGCGCTGGAAGATGTTCTTGTCGGCGTGGACGTCCAGCATGTCCACATTGAGGTCGTAGGGCGTGAGGTTGAGCGACTCAAACACCTCGCGCAGGGTCAGGTACTTGCCGTCCCTGTCGGTGGATGTTCATCGGAGGGGGGTGGGGCGTCACAGGCAGGACGGCGGTGCTCGGCGATTGGAGTCGGGAGAGTGCATGGGATGATTGTGGAGAACCATGTCAATGGGGGATCATTGCAGAGGCCCGCTTGATTCCATCGGCAATGCCCTCGCTGCATCACACCCGATCTCCTCATCCCAGCCTAAGCCACCGCTCGCCTGAAGATGACCACCTCGTCCGGCTCCTTCTTCAGCTTGGACTTCATGAAGCGCAGCAGGTGCTTCTGGTGCATGCACGCGGAGTGGTGCACGTGTGTGTCCACCTGGCAGGCAGGGGGTGTGGGGTTTGAGTGGTGAGACATGGCGGGGTGTTGCAGGTCGGGGACACCGAGTTCCCACCAACTCAGCCGCACAGAAGATCTCCGGTCCTCCATCCCCAGCACCCTGCACCACCTCCACCCAGGAACAGACCTTGCGGACGTTATAAAAGTCGCGATGGGGGGCGGACTTCTGTGCCAGGAACTCCTTGTCCGAGTTGAGCATGACGTGCAGGTTGAACTTCTGCTCCAGCAGCAGCAGGCGGTGGTGGGTGAAGGAGCGCACGTTGCCCAGCGCCGACACACGCAGCAGCCAGTGCATGTCGGAGAAGAAATCCACGGCCGTGCCGGGGGGGGTGAGCCAGGCGGTTTGCAGGTCCGGGGGGGGCGGGGTGCCCCGCGCCTCCGGCGCGGGCGCCGCCGCCGTTGCGGCGCCGTCCCAGACGCAGTACACGCCGTCCACCATCCTGAAGTGCCAGTCGGGCTTGCAGGGGGCAGGGGTCCACCGGAAGGGGTCGCCGATGCAGTCGGACAGCTCCTTGGCCTCGGCCAGGTGCGACAGCTGCTCGGGGGATAGGACCGGCTTGAACAGCCACTTTCGCCTGTACGTGCATGTGTGGGTTCAGCGTGGGGTCCGATTGGGATTGGCAAGCAAGTTCATCAGATGCCTGCGGGTGGAATGCATGCACAATCAACATGCACTGCGCTGCAGCCTGAATCCCAGTCACTGGGCCGCCGCCACGGCAACCGCTGCGCAGCCATGCACGGGGCATGCAGCCCAGGAATCGGCGCAGCCCGGCACCCACACGTGGCCACTGAAACACCCTCATACGCGATAAAATGCGCCATTCAACATGCCTGAGCTCCATGGCTTCCTGGAGCATGTAGCAGACATCCTCCGTCTCCTCCGAGGGGGAATGCTCGGGCGTGATCACTCGGACGTAGGCCTCGTGCATCGCGGCGTCCTCGATCATCTTGCCTGCGCGTGGGTGAGTTCGCGGGTGCTCAGGCCGCGGGCGTCGTGCGGCAGGGAGCTGACTCCCACGCAGGGACGGGGATCGTGCTCCCAGAGGGTACCCGCCGCCCGCTGGGCTCCAGCCTCACCCCCCATGAACCTGGGACCTCCCCCCCCCCCCACCGCGCCACTCCCTGCACCTCACCAGCCCTCACCCAGCTTCCACACACCTTCATGCGCCATGAAGGAGGCGTTGGTGCTGGACTGCGTCACGGTGGCGGGCGCCACCCCCGCGACCCCGGCGCAGGGCGTATGGTATGTGTGCATCAGCACATTCCCCCCCGGGTTGGGCACATGCCCCGCCGTGGGCGGCTGCACCATGGCCGGCCCCTGCCCCGGCTTCAGGTACTGCGGTACTGCGGGGGTGGCAACCACCGCCTCGCGCGCCGCGCCGCCGTTTGGCGGCGCCGCGCCCGCGCCGGCGGCGCCGCCGCGGGGCGACAGGCAGGTGTTGGCGGGGCGGGGGATGTACTGCAGGCCGTGGGCGTGGGCGTGGGTCTGGGCGCCGGGGGCCAAGCCGTGGAGGGGGCCGCCCAGCTCCGCCTCGGAGGCGCTCATGAGGCCGGAGCTTGTGGGCGGGTGCGGGAAGTGGGCCATGCCGTCGGCGTCCGTGGCGTAGTACTCGGTGGTGTCCCCGCCCTCCGCATTCAGGGCCGGGGTGGGCGCGATCACCATGGCGGGGCGGGAGTTGGGACGGCGGATGGGGTCTGCCAGCGCCGGCGACGCCTCCTGCGGGGGTGAGGGGGGAGTGGTGAGTAAAACACCTCACGTGAGGTTCTTTGCGCAGCAAGCCTGCTATGCTCCACAGGTCGATTGGCTCCATGCTTGCACAGGTCGTGAATCCCAGGCAAAAGCTTCCTCACATTTGACACACGGGTGCGGGGATGGCCATTGGGAGGGGCAGCCCGGGAGCTTGGACGCTGTCGAGGCGAGGCATGGAGTGATGGGGTGGCAGGTGGTACATGCACCAAGGCTGCTCACATACTTTGCAAGATGAATGCCACCACCATGCAGGCAGTGAATTCTCACAAAGACCTCACGTCTCCCCAACCAACTGCTGTTGCAGTAGCCTCACCGTCAGCGATGCACCGGCCTCGTAGTAGGCTCGTGCGGCGGCCGCTTCGACCATGTCCATGCCGTCGCCCGACCCACCGCCATTGAGCTCCAGCCCCCGCCGGGCAGCAGATCTTGGAACCCCAGGGCTGGTTGCACGGCTTGGTGGAGCCCTGTACAAGGGTTTCAGGGTCCTCTGAGGCGGACTGTGCCTGCAGTGCCTCAGCACTCCCTGTGGGGGAGGCACTCCAGTTGCACCAGCAAAGAGCAATGCAACGGTGGGAGCATCTGCCCTCCAGGGTGCTCACCGAGCCGCGCTTTTGCGTCTTCCAGCATTTAATCGACCGCCATGGCGTTCGATGAGGGACTGGGTGCCGTACTTGTAGCCCAGGTACGCCGCAACGGCAGTGACGGAGGTGCCCAACGCGATGCCGAGTGCCAGTGTCTCCCATCGAGACTGGGGACGCAGTGAGGAATCCATACTGTATTTCGATTGCACTATACTGTGCCAATTTTGCAATTACCAATGCCCTGGAGCTGTCCAGCCCTGTCCAGATGGAAAGGACAGGGCGGGCTGGGGAGGCCTTTCTGAATAGGGGTACCCTGAGGCTTGTGAGGACAGCGTCGCCTTGCCAGCGGGATGAGCTGAAGGAATGATCTGGTCAACCTGAGCACGATCTTGGGGTTTTGTCACATGCATCGCTGGAGGTGCGTGGGGGGTGCTTAGGGCATCAAACTTGCCACCTCCGGTCGAACCAGGATGCTCAGTTTCGCGCGCGTTGACTTTGCACTACGGAAACACCCCGCCCCCTGAATATCAGGGGACGTGGAGTGGGGATGTGGCAGTGATACGGTGCTGAAAACCGAGATTCATGAGCTGCAAAGATTGGCTCGGCCTTTTGCAATGGTGCGGGCGGTGAGCGACGCCGTGGAGTCGGGCACCGGGAGCAAAGTCCCGTGCAACTCCATGTCGGCCAGCCTGAGGTGGGTGGGTGCTGCTGATGAGGCCTCGATATTATATAGAACGCTGTAGTCATTCATCGCCGCCATCGTGCGTGTTGGTGACAACACCCTGACACTCCATGTTTGACACCATGCCGCGTCAACCTGCAGGCAGCTGAAAGCTGAACATCTAAAAAAGCGAGGGGATGCAGCCTTGAAAGACGGCAATCTGCGAGAAGCATGCGCCAAGCAAGTATATGTGTGCAGTGCGATGGGTTGGATGGTCTGGCTGCTGGTTGAATAACCGCCCTGTGACAGCATTCAAATTCTTGAGAGCTCCTCGGCCCTTCAAAAACGGGCAGGTACGACGAGGCCATCGATTTACAACCCAGTTCCTCGGTCATGCGGGCTCTCCTATCCAACCGAGCGCTGGCCCACACCAAGGCTAGGCGGTTTGAGAAGGCCCTGGAAGATGCCGAGGCTGCAGTGGCCCTGGCTCCATCCTGGGACAAAGGATACTGGAGGAAGGGTGTAGCACTGGAAGGCTTGCATCGGATTGCAGACGCTGTGCAGGCCTTTCTGAGGGTGTGGACAATAAATGGAGGTGAGGCAGACCCAGGCATGGTTGGAGGCAGGATTTGCGGCATCCCATGCTCCCTGCCTGACGAGCTGCCACCCAGTGCAGGAGACAGCGAGAGCACTGCAAGGCTTCAGGCCGTGGTTCGAAAACTCACCCGAGAGCAGCTGGGAAGTGGGATGCTGGTACTCATAGAAGCTGCCGTCCAGGAGGTCAGTTGTGCTTGGCCGTGCGTGTGTGGTCCTTTGCTAAGGTAAACCATGCCAGGAATATATCATTTGTGTTTTCTTAACGCCCGCACATCATATACACCACTTACACATCGCACAGGGAGCCATCCCCAAGGCTACTGTGGAGTGTGTCCCTGTAGATGCTCTTCACGAAGCTGCTTTCCTGGTTGTCAAGCAAGCTCATCACGGCGTCCCCAGTCCGGGGCCTTACTATGCCAGGTGGTTTTGCATCCTGTCCATTGGCACTGGCAATCCAATGGGAGGGATTTGGGGGCGCATTGTGTGATTGGTTGGGAGTGTTGCATGCAGGCCCATGATTAAGTCAGTGTCGCTCTTCTGTGCAGGGTTTGCATGCCCCCCCCTCGCCACCAGTCCTGCAAACATACCCCATGAACTCCTCTGCCTAGGTACCTCTCCTGGCTCACATCGGGCATCTCCCCACCAGCCGCCCTGATAGAGCGCTCTCGCATTCACGCCGCGGGCCGCTGCTTCCTCCAGGCGGCTGCGGATGCCGAGCACGGCGTCCGCCTCCTGTTCAAAGCCGATATCCACGGTATTGAGCTGGCGCAGGCGTATGCCTGTCAGGGCGCCGGGTACCTGGCGGTGCAGGGCCATGCCGACCGGGCCCCTGCGCCTGCCGCCGCCTGCTTCCTCAAGGCTCTGGACAACGATCAGGGGCTGCTGTCTGTGCAAGCGAGCTTGGAAGAGGCTGTGAAGGACCTCACCAAGGAGGAGTATGACCAGGTGTGGCTGGGATACCCCGATGCTGGGGCCTTGGAGGGGTTCGCTGGCCTGTGTAAGGAAGGTGGCGAGGCCTGGGCGGTGCCATCCATCCGTGGTCCTGCCGTACCTCAAACTCTCGGGGATGCGTGCGAGTGACGTGCAACCTGCGCTTACCAAGGCCTGCTGAACAAGTGAAGCTGCCCTGGGTGCCTGCAGGTGCGTGCAGAGGTTTTCAACACCGGCTCCAGGGCAGATGGGGGCCTGTGTCACCCAGAGGCCCTTGGATTCGTGGATGGGGTCAGCAAAGCAGCAAGAGCCCGTTTGTATAGGGTGGATATCCAGCTCGCCTTCCCCGAGGTAGGCGGTGACGAGGATGTTGGGTCAGAGCAGCAGGGGTCTGCAGAGTACATGGTGCTATGGAGGTGTGTGCAAAGACTCTTAAGAGGAGGGGTGTGGCAGGTATGCGATAGGAGGAGCTCTTGTGGGGGAAGCGGGGGGGGGTGCCGCACGGTAGTGCACGATTTTCAATGAGGCCTCAGGAGATCGTGTGGACGCTCTCACTGTCGTACTCCCACAGGCCTCCACCAAGGCCCTGACAGCGGGCGTGCGACAGGCACTCCGTGCCGCCCTTGCTTCTGCTGCCGGCCTTGAGCTGCGACGAGTCACCCTGGACCGCGTGTCAAACCCTCGGCCAGACTCTCCCTACTTGGGAGTTCGCCTGGAGGCTGCTGTGGGCGGGAATGAGGAGGCCGCATACCAGATCCTGAGGCTTGTCGAGGTGGGGAGACAAGTGTGGGCATGAGAAATGGTGGGAGGATGCCGGGCATGCATTGCCTTTGAAGCTTCTTGGACATCCTCACCTCTGCATGATCAGGAGTGCCCCTTCCTGGGCTGGGTCCCAAATCTCTCACTCGTGCTTTATGCCTGCAGGGCACTCCAGCAGCGCAGGAGGCTGCCTTGGAGAGCGTCCTATCCGCGGTTTCAAGCCTGGGACCTGTGGATCATGGGGCCAGTTCGGCAGACGTGGTGGACATCACCCCCAGGGGCGTGCAGCCCCTGGATGCCGGCGGCCCTGACTCGGCCGGGCCGCTCGTCCCAGCCACCCCACCCAAAATGGAGCTGGAGGTGCCGTATCGCATGTATCGCATCACCCGCATCGATGGATCCACGGTGGACAGGGTGGACAAGCACCCCTTCTGCATGAGCCGAGTGTACTATGATGCGGCGGAGAAGCCGGAGGAGGTGAGTGGCGCCCGGCGAAGGAACTGGTTTCCATGGCTTTCGCATGAACGTGCTGGTAAATGGTTGCACAGTGCTGACAAATGCTCTGCCTTTACCAATTCCACCAGCTGTGGGCCGAGCTGGCGGATGGATCTTGCCGTTGGAGGCAGACCGGTGCTGAGGTCAAGGTCTGCGTGCTGAAAGTGCCGCACACGCTGCGCCCCCGCCAGCTCAGCGTGACCCTGGAGCCCTACTCCATCAAAGGTGACCCCTGAGAGTGGCGGCCAGGCGCTTGCCTTTTGTCGTTATCGGAGGGGATCTCCTGTAATGCAAAATTGGGCCAGCCTCTTGCACACGTCCAAATTGGTACGGGCCCTCCTGCAGTGTCAAACAAGGACACGGGGGAGGTGTACCTGGAGGGCACCCTGGAGCGGGGCATCGTGCCCGAGGACTCTGTGTGGACGCATGGCGGTGGGAGCGGCGAGGACGGGACCATGCTGTACCTTCAGAAGATGAACCTGGAGCTCTTGCAAAAGTGAGAAAGGGTTGGGGCATGGCATGTGACGGTCCTGCCGCGGATGCCTTGAAGATGGGAATGCGCTGGCCTTTCTGCATGTCCCAGCAAGCAAAGCAGCCAGAGTCTGGGTCCCTGGACTAACGGCGCTTCGCTCTCCCCATCACCCTGGCAAGGCACTGGATGCACTCCGAGATGTGGTGGCCTCGCCTTCTCCGGCATCACTCAGAGATTGCCTGGGACGATTATGAGAAGGACTACTCTGACCTCCCAGAGCAAGTGTTGCAGCACCACAGGCAAGGAGGGTTTGGCGTAGCAGGGGGTCAGTGATGTCAGCTCCATAGAAGCATGTGGTGCTATGATGCACACCAATGGTTCCCTTTTGTGAACAGCCTCGAGTTGCCAGTAGACAACAGGCCTGATTGGTCCCAAGGAATTTGAAACTGACACCAAATGCCCACTGTGTGACAGGATATGTGAGGCACAGAAGGATCAAGAGCGGACGCTGGAGGCTCTCGAGAAGAGCAAGCGGGAGATGCTACAGGAGAGGGACGACCTGAGAAGAAGGCAGCGTCAAGAAAGGCTGCATTACCTCAGGACTGGCGTGCGCAAGTCATGGGTCGAGCTAAACCGAGCCAATCCTGGTTGAATTGCGCCTGAAGATTGCTGCCCCTCACGATTGTGCAAATGCTACTTGTCGGTTCTACAACAGATGCAATGCTGCACAGAATGTGAGTGGACAGGCCAGGTAGCCTGCCCTTTGCGGGCAAAGACACGGTACGAAGAGACAGGCCTCAGGATACGCCATATGATGCTTTGAGGGACACATTGTCGGGGATGCGCTTGAAGCTACAAAGCCACTGCATGCCCCTTCACTTGCTGGAGGTCATCTTCTCCTTGATGTGGTTCTTCTCACCCTGTGGGGACATAAGAGGAATACAAGGAGTTTGCGTTTGTTTCAGCAATGTAAGCGCCTGGCATACAGTGCCATGCCCCTTTCAGATATAATACCACCAGCAAACTCTCCCCCACACCTTGATGGTCTTCACTGACAGCTCTTGCAACTCCTGGACACTGGTGACCTCCGCCTTGTCAGCCTTGACGGTGGCCTCACTCGCAGACGCGTTCTCCTCCTCCCAGTGCTCTGGGACACTCGACTTCTTTGCTTGGGAGGTGGCGGCCTCATCTGCGATATCAGCCGCCGAGGAACGTGTCCGAAACGGCCTCGGAAGACTACTGGGGCTGGATCACTCTGCCCTGCGCACGAACACACAATCCTCTGCGCACACAGCAACCCCAATGATCAGACTCACCCTTCTTGTCGCCCGAGCAGGCCGGCGTCATGCTGATGTTCCTTACCGACATCGTGATCGGGGTCAGGGAGGCCCGGTACCCGAGCATGGCAGGCTTAAGCAGACCTACTCTCGTCATCATGGACATGATGTTTCGATTACTGGCCTTCTGGAGTTCAAGCTATTGGTATTTATATGTGTATATTATATCTCGAGGTGACTGTTTAAGGCTCTGATTGCGCCAGTGGCCATTGGCGTACCAAATAATGGACCGCCAGTGGCCCCGAGGGAAGCTGCTCCGCAACTACCGGCCTGGACTATTACTAATCCTCCACCTGAACCGAGAAGGCATCGTCCTCCCCTGCCGTCCCTCCTCACGGAACCCCGGCAGCAGGCTCCTCCCCCAGTCTACAGCATCCCAGGGGCAGACAGGCGCTGCGGAAAGCACTGCGCCAGACGGTTCCGTCCATCGCTCCCTCGAGCTCACACCCACGCCATCCAGCCCTCATACATGGCGGCCAGGGCGCTGGGGTTGGTGGCCTGCCGGACCAGGCCCGCCACCTCCACCTCCACGGGCTGGTGGCCCTGCATCCGTCCGCCCACGCGCTGCATCGTCGCCCTGATCCACTCCGGCTTGGCGCGGGGCTGGGCCTGGAAGAGCGAGGTGGCGACGGGGCGCGGCGCGGCCGCCAGGTCCGCCTCCATCGGAGGCACCGGCCGAGCCGCGGCCTCGGCCCCGTGCTCCAGGCTCTTTCCCGCCGCCAGGGCGGCGATGTCGGCGGCCGCGGCAGCCACCTCGTCGCGCAGCCCCCGCCGCTCCTCCTCGGCCTTGGCGGAGGCCATCAGCAGCCTCGCCCTGCCCCGGTGCTCGTCCGCCAGGGTGAGCAGCGCCGGCGTCGCCGCCTGCCAGGCATCGCAGCTGGTCGCGATCTCCGCCGCCTCGGCCAACAGTACCGGGATCAGCTCCCGCACAGACGCGGGGCGGGGCGCGCTGCCCCCGGCGCGCCCCGCACCCCGAGCCGCCGACGCCGCGGCGCGCAGCTCCGCGATCCTCTCACCCAGCGCAGCCAGGCGCGGCGGGACAGCGAGGATGTCCGGCAGGACGCCCGCGAACGCCGCCGCCGCCGGCCCGCCCCACGCCCCCTCCTGATCGTACAGACTTAGGGTGGAGCTGTCAAACCGGCTCAGGTCGTCCACCACCTCCCCGCACTCCGAGGTCAGCTCCGGTAGCACCCCCATCATCCGCTCCAGGGCATGGAGGTCGTTCGGGGTGAGCGTCTGCGAGGCGCGCTCCGCCGCCTCTGCCCTTGCCTGCGCCGCTGTGTTTGCCGCGGCCTCTGCCGCGGCCTGCGCCGCTGTGTTTGCCGCGGCCTCTGCCGCGGCCTGCGCCGCTGTGTTTGCCGCGGCCTCTGCCGCGGCCTGCGCCGCTGTGTTTGCCGCGGCCTCTGCCGCGGCCTGCGCCGTGCATGGAGGGGCGCGGTCGAAACAATAGGGATCCAGTCGGTGCTCTCGGGGTCGCGGCGGGTCCCCAGCGCCCACACCGCCAGTCAAGCGTAGATGCGTGCGGCGATGCGTCGCATCCACGCAGGCTGTGCCCTGGACCCACCCCGCAGCGTCTGGTTGTTTCGGCACCAGGGAGTCCCAGGCACGCCCGAGGTCTGCCATTTTCCCAGTGTCACAGAACCGACATGGGCTCCTTGGGCACCCCCCCCACACCCCGGCCCTGTCCAGCCCTCCCACCAACCCCGCCCGCCTGACCCCTCCCCCCTGCCACCCCCCACCCACCTGCGCCTCCCGCTCCTCGGCCTCGCGAGCCCGCAGCTCGGCCTCCGCCCCCTGCACCGCCCGCGCCGCGGCTTCCACCTCGTCCAGCGCGCCCAGCGCCGCGGCAGCCGTCGCCAGCACGGCCGCGCGCGCCGAGCCCGGGGCCGGGGCGCCGGCCTCCCGCTCCGCCTCCAGCGCCAGCAGGCGCGCCGCCAGGCCTCCCAGCGCGGCGGCCGCCTCGCTGGCGGCCGCCAGCCAGTCCCGCCGCGCCTGCAGCCCGGCGTGCAGGCCCCAGCGCAGCGGCGCGGGGCAGGCATCGGCCAGCAGGGTCTGCACCTCGGCGTCCGCCGTGGCCCAGGCCTGCAGCGCCGCCTCGGCCGAGCCCAGCGCGCCCAGTGCGTCGGCCAGGGCGGCGAGGTGCGCGGCGCGGCCCGGCCCGGGCGCGGCCGGGGCGGACCCCGGCGCCGCCCACTCCAGCAGCCCCGCGCGCGCCGAGAGGCGCGCCAGCTGGGCCTCCGCCTCCGCCGCAGCCAGGCGGGCGACGTGCGAGCAGGCGTCCACAGCCGCCAGCCGCCCGGCGGCCTCCTGCGCGCCCGCCAGGACCGCGGCCAGCCCAGGGTCCGGGGACGGGCCGGGCGCCGGCGCGACCGGCCCGTCGTGGCACGCGCCCGCCGGCGGCTCCGCCGCGTCGCGCTCGAGGCCCGTCTCCTCCAGCCACTCGTGCGCCGCCGTCAGGGGCTGCTCCTCGTCGCTGTCCTCCAGGGCACCCCCCAGGTACCCGGACTCCAGCGGCTCGTCTGCGCACGAGGGGGTCCAGCGGATCGCGACCAAGAATCCAGCGGGTGGCAGGTGCTGTGGGACGGGCAACGCACGGCGCTGCCCGTTTGCCTTGGCAACACAGCCAGCAAGACGCTTCCCATCGAGCAGGTATCAGCCACAGCAGGGCCCCAAAACACAGCCCCTCCCGTCCCCCCACCCCGCCTCTCCTTTGCCCCTCACCGATGCCCGCCATGCCATCATCAAAGTCCATGAAGGGCACGAGCTCGCGCGCGCAGGCGTCGTCCTGGCCGCCGAAGAACTCGGGCAGGGGCGGGGGGTGGTCGCGAACGCCTTCGTCCAGTGCTGCTCCTCGAGGTGCGCCGCCGCCAGGGACATCACCGCGCCTTCCACTCGCCGCAGGCCCCCACTGCACTGCGCTCGCGGCGCCCTTTCCGGCCAGGCTCGCCTCCAGGCTGGCGCCGGTGCTCAGCAGCGCACGCGCGACGAGAGGGAGGAACTCGCGCCGCGCGATCGCTCCGATGGCTCCTTCCAGCACGGCGCGCGCCGCCCGGCCCGCGTCCACGCTCCGCGCCGCTTCCGCCGCTTCCGCCGCGCGCCTGGTGAGCGCCGGGCCTTCGCGAGTCGCAATGTCGGCGCCGCCGCCGCCGCCGTCCGCATCGAGACCTAGGGCCGCCCGCAGGCCGGCAACGCCGTCCGCCGCGGCGCGGAGCGGGGCCTCCACAGCCGCCCGCGCCGCGTGCATGCCGGCATCCGTGCCCGCCTCCATGCCCGGCTCGCCGCCCTGGCCCTCGCCCGCCTCAGCACCTTCCCCCGCCTCCGCAGGCCCCCCCGCCCCGCCCCAACCCCCATGCATGCCCTCCAGCAGCAGGGGCACGGCCAGCCGCAGCTCCGCGGCCGCCGTGGTCAGGGCGTCCATGCCCTGCACCGCGGGGGCCAGCCACGCCAGCCGCCCCTCGCCCCAGAGCAGGTCGGAGGGGAAGGCGGGGCGCAGGTCCAGCGCCAGGGAGCCCCAGCCCAGCACCAGGCGCTGGCTCCGGCCCAGCAGCGCGTCTAGGTCCGAGTCGGGGTCGCTCGCCGACCGCAGGGATTGTTGCTCTGAGCCCGGTGCGGCGCCGGCCTCGAGGCCGGGCCAGGCTTGTGGTGGGCTTCGTGACCTGCCACCTGCCTCCCTCACTGCCTCTCTACCTGCCCCTCCCTTGCCCTCGACCATCTGGCGGCAAGCTTCGGCCAGGTCACGTAGGTGCGCGGCGGTGGCACGGACGACGGCGCCATCTCCTCCACGCGCACATGCCTCGCCCAGGCTCACGCCGAGCGCTGCCCTGGCCGCCTCGGCGCCGCGCGCGGGGAAGGTGGTGCGCACGATCGTACCGGGCGGGAGGAGGGCCGCCACGCCCCGGTACCGCGCCAGGGCCTCGGCCAGGACCAGCGTGCAGTGGCCGCGCTGCGAGGGTGGTGGTTCAGGAGCATCGAGGGACTGGCCGCTGGCCCAGGGTGCGGGGCGGTGATGTGTCCACGCCCCACCGC